CTTGCCCCCCCCAGCAAGCTTTCTTTGCTTCTTGGAGTTGAGGTTTTCCCACTGTCTACGATGCATTGTGTATAGACGCATGGCAGCTTGCGCATCTTGGACCTTCAAATATGAAGAACATTATAACACAGTGTAACCACAAAATGCCAGTGTTTCTTAAATAACTATACTGAACAAGAATCCCTACATTACACCACTTTAATAACAAAGCACGTATTTGACTTGAGGGTAGACTCAATTTTTTTTTAAGTTTGTTGTCTTGTTTCTGATTATTTGTGAGAGGATTTTCCCATTATTATTTATTTGTATGTGTTTTGGAAAAAAAACAACACACACACACACACACGCACACACACACACGCGCACACAAACACACACGTGCACACACACACACACACACGCGCACACACACACACGCGCTGTCGCGATCCCAATATCCTTTATACCTGGGAGTGAAACCTACCCCAAGTTATTATCAAATAAAGGAACAAATAGGGAACACGGCAATAATTATCCCCACAAAAACCTACTCGACTAAATGTATTTGAATAAGTAAGAACAGATGAAATAAGTTAATCACAAAAGGGAAGATAATTAATTAATTCAATTTATGTTCTAAAGGGAGTACTGACTAGCAAACAAGAATGCATTGTCAGAGTGGGGGATTAGTGGGTCTCATGACTAAAATATGTTTGAATACAAGATCCCTAAACAAAATATTGTGACATGATATAATGAGGGGAACTCAATTCTTTTATGAAAAAAATGAAATAAAAAATTAGAAATGTTGATACCGGAGACTATAAAATTAGTTCTAAACAAGTTAGAAACAACATTTTTTTACCCATATAATCATTAAGAGTTTATCTAAAAGTCTGGTTAAATAAATACATAAAAAAAAAACTACAGTCAACCCTCACTTTACGCGGTTAATGTAACCCACAGGGTACCGCGGAAAGTGAGAAACGCGTAAAGTGAATAACATAACATATGGGATTAAATGAAATAGAGACCAGCTGACCCCCAAACTCCACTTTTTCCAACACAATACCTATGTTCTAGTAAAAATAACATCTTAATTTTATGATGGTACATGCACACAATTAATACTTAAGAGAAATAGAGAAATACAGTCGCCAAGTTAATGTCCATTCAAATAATGGACACACTCCCTCCCCCTCTTCTCACACTACACTCGCTGGCTCTTCCCTCTCTGAGAAATTTTGGGGGGAAAACCAGGTATAGTAATAAATAATACCTCAAACTAGAGTTAGGATAATATAATTGACATTGCTGGATTCCTTGTAAAACCAGGAATATTTTGAATATAAATGTCATATATTTTGCACAAAAGATAACATATTTACTCAGAGTAAACATTATATCTAAAATTTGTATGTCTAATGCAAAATATACGATGTTTATATTAAAAATGATCATCAAATTGTAAGAATTCCAGCAATGTAAATTATATTCTGGCCGGGTAATTTGTATGAATTTTATGAGCTAAAACAAATATCTTCAGTTAATAAAAAAAAAATATTCTTCACACCGTGCCAGGTGGTCGGTCACCGGTCCCTCCCTCCCTCCCACCCCCCACCAACCCTCCCTACCAGATAAATGTGTGGGAATACCAGACTGTTTACCTTTTTAGTAATAAATAATAAATCAGACTAAAGTTAGGATAATATAATTGACATTGCTGGATTCCTCGTAAGACCAGGAATATTTTGAATATAACTGTCATATATTTTGCACAAAAGATAACATATTTACTCAGAGTAAACATAATTTCTAAAATTTGTATGTCTAATGCAAAATCTATGATGTTTATATTCAAAATGATCATCAAATTGTAAGAATTCCAGCAATGTAAATTATATTCTGGCCGGATAATTTGTATGAATTTTATGAGCTAAATAAAAAAATTATACTTCACGGTAAAGAATTTTCGGAATGTGAGCATCCTGGGTTCTGGCAGGGCACCGTGTAGCGTGGAAACGAGGAATGTGGGACCGCGTAAAGTGAGGGTTGACTGTATATGTTATGGGTGTGCAAAGCGTGGATGGAGTGTGTCACAGCGAAAACAATGGAATTTTCCACTCTGCATATACAGTATTGTAAATACTCTAGACAAAATAATGTATACTACTATACAATACTAAATACAGTCATGCGCCAGTTAACGTCCTAGATACGTTCTTGGAAACGTGACGTTAACCGAAATGGACGTTGTCCGATCATCACATAAACTTTTTATTTATACTTACGTGTACCTGTATGTGGAATACTATATAATACATATTATACACTTTTTACTCTTAAATCACTACTGTAATGTGATACAGGTGATTAATTTTTATCTCTTGTGCATTACATGATTGCCATATTAAAATATTCACTCACGCATTAGGACCCCAGCAACGCCGAGGCAGATGGGGGAGAGGGTGGAGCGCAGCGTAGGGGCGGGGGAGGGGAGGTAGTATTGCTTTGACAGTTGGCACAGGCCCAGGTCTAACGCTGTATATTTATCAAATTTAGGGTGACTAAGCTTTCTCTTATAAAAAAGCCAGTGAAATGACCTGGGTAAATATAATTAATATAGCTGATTCTTGTAACATACTGATTAATTTGAATATAAGCATGCTATAATTTGCACTAGACAAAACAATAATTTTAGTACCATAATCAAATTAGTACATGTGCACTCCAGCTTGCACTACTTATTTCTATTACGCTTTCTTAGTATGGTGTGTGCATGTAAATGGATGAAAATATATGAAGAAATCTATGTAATCTACCCAAAATACAGTTAGCAAACTTTTTATAAATGTACTACACAGCACTGTACACTAGGCAAAAGCAACAATTTTATCTCGAGCAAATATATGACGCGAGATATTCAAATTATTGGCTGTCTTGTATGATTCCAGCAATGCAAATGGTACCCCCAACTTAGTCTGAGATATTATATAAGATAAAAACTGTAAGCCTAAAAAGCCCGCTGGGGGACTGACGGAAACAGCCACGCCACCCAGCGAGGCCAGGGTGGGGAGTTGAGGTGAAGGTCTCAGTGTTTATTTAACAGTCCTACTAAGCTTTCTCATTTTTAAAAATGCCAGTGATATGACCTAGGAGAAATATAATTACCATAGCTGGGATTCTTGTAAGATAATGATTTATTTGAATATAACCATGTTGTAATTGCGACCAGACATAACAATTTTAGTACCAGAATCAAATTAGTACTGTACATGTGCACTCCAGTTTTGCACCTGTCATTTATTTATTTTAATGTGCTTTCTTTTAGTACGTGTGTGCATGTAAATGGATGAAAATAAATGAAGAAATTTATGTAAATCTACCCAAAAATACAGTTGAAAGTGAACTTTTTTATAAAAATGTATTACAGTATTGTACACAAACGTATCACATTTTTATGTCTTAAGCAAAATATAAGACGCTTTTATATTCAAATTAATCTCTGTCTTGGCATGATTTCAGCAATGCAAATTATATTAACCTAACTTTAGTTTGAGATATTATATAAAATAAACATAAAGAAATCACCAATCTTTTATCTTGTAACACGAGGGTGCTGGGAAGACGGGGTGGGGGGATGAATATCTGCATTTGTTTGTTTATTTATTTATTTGAGATAAGATTTGACAGTTGGCGCTGAAGGCCTGCGTGTTTATTTATCATTACTTAAGAGTGACTAAGCTCTTCTCATAATTTGCCACCCAAACGACCTGGGTGAATATAACTTACATTGGAGGGATTCTTGTAAGATAGTAATTTATTTGAATACCTGTATAAACAAGCTATATTTGCAATAGACATAACAATTTTAGTACCGTAATCATTTAGTACATGTACAATACAGGTTTGCACTTAGGTCCATTGTTACTGTACAATATTGACTAAATTCACTAGATAACATACACCTGGCAGCACAATCTATAAGAATACGCGATGCATACGTGACTGTGCCCGCTCTAGGTCCATTTCGGTTCGCTAGGTCCCATTATTTGAATGTTTTTTTCAATTTCAATTTTAATTGTTTATTCATTGATAGAAGAAGCGGGATCCTAGCGCTGTCACTTGGTACCCCTGTACCATAACACCAGAAGCAACTGGCCAGTGTCACAAGTATATACAGTACAGTACAGTCATCCCTTGGTTATCGCGCCTAATTGGGACCCCGCCAATAACGAAAGTACAGAACCTATGGGATTTATTCTAATTGGTCCAGGCACCCAAGACCCAACCCCAAGTTTCCCATTTTACAACCATTTAGACCCACTAAATATATATATAATGTTATGGTAAATATCATAAACACACATAAGCATGGCTAGGTTTATTACAAAGTGATGAAAAGGGTACGCTTAATACTGTAGTCCACAAAACATGTAGCTATGCTTTTTTTATTTGGTCCCCTGTCATACGAGTCCGTTTTCTCTTACATCAGGACGCCTGAGTCCTCCGTTTTATCTCTTAATCTTAGAGTGCACCAGAAGCTTTACTATTTTTAGTAATGCCACAGAATTTGAAATTGCAACCCCAATTTTGTTGAGGCAACTAGATATGTCTGATTACAGCAAATGTGTTAATGTCAATTTGCAGGTGAAAGATTTTATCCTCAATAGATGTAGGTTAACATTTCACCTGTAGGCAAATGCTTAAAAAAAGCCTAAGTAAGGAAGCATATTCCTTTAACACATAATATCTGACCAGTATGGGGAGGATCATCGTGTCTCCGTCAGGGTGTCGTGAAGTGGTGGTCCAGCAGGCATCACGGTTTTGGGGGGGGGGGGCACGGACATATATGCGATCGGACGTTAACCGGCACATGACTGTATACTGTACAAACCAGCAGATGCTGTTGTCTTGAGCCTAAATTAGACAGACACTGTCCACTCTGCTGAATGTTCAGTAAAATTTAACTGTAGTCACTTTTTACACGTCATAACACTTGCGATAGAGGTGTGGTAGGGGATTAGTGAGATTCATGTTACTGACCTGATACAATGTCAGGTCACCCAAAGTATATAAATTCTTCTCTCATTTGTGGTGAAGGTGAGGTGAGGGGTTAGTGGTCTCATATTACAGTACTGACCTGATGCAATGTCAGGTGACCCATTGCCAGGGTGAGGGATGTCTTGAATAAAGACGAAAGTTAAGGTGCCCTAGTGTTTCTTACTGTACTTACTGAATGTACAGTACAGTACAGTATACATCTGTCATCACTTTTTATTTCTTAACGCTGATTTAACACTATATTCTTGGCTGATTGTCCTGATACAGTAATTTACAGTATACTGCACAACACAAATTGTATGCAAAAACAGCAGCCAGTGAGGGAATAACCTTCTACAATGGCAGAAGAATAAGAACCAAGCAATCCAAGCTGCTAAGCCACCCACACGCCTGGAATGTGGGGAAACACTGGAGCATGATGCAATCTCTCAGACTCCCGGAAATTTATTCCCAGGCCCAGAACAGAGAGGTTAGGACAAGTTTTCTTGAAATTTTTTCCTGAAAAATTCTCCTGATTTTCATCCTCGGAAACTCATTCATTGACACGGAATGGAGACAGTTTTCCTGAAAAATTTCCCACCCGATTTCGATTCATGTTTTTTGAAGAGTTCTGGGGGATTGGGAATTCCAGCTAATGTGGAGATTGCTGTATAATTTAAAAAAAAAAAAAAGAGAGAGAGGAGTCCTGATTCCTACTACATACTAGTGTAACTGTGAATATCCCTTCACCATGGTTCTCTTCAGATTCCATCTCAAAATGCAAAATAAATTCAAACAAGTACCTGTATGATACTAAAAACTGAATATGATATGATATTTTCAATGTTTTAGCTACTCTTGAAAATTCAAATAAGGTCACTTAGTCCTCAAATGTAATGTTAAAATCTTACCTAGATAAAAACTGTTACTAAATTTCATCAAAACTGACTTTAAAATAGAAAGCATATTATACATACAACAATCATGTCTACAGACAGACTTACACATGTCCAGATGATGTTAGACACATTCCCATCACTTTGAGACACTAGTCCTTACTATAAGGACTCAAGTGTCCCATTTTCTAAGTTTTAGTCCATGAACTCTTACATCACCAAACTCATGGGATGGTTGGATTTATAGTAAGGCTAACAACCTGAAACCCCCTGCTATAAGATTCTATTATACAGTACTAGTTTGTAAAAAAAAGAAAAAAAAGAAAGGCAATACAGTACCTGTATAGCATACATATGAGGTCACCCCCATGGTAAGGGCACAAGCGCCACCATGCCTGAAATCGAGTTACTACCACGTCGAGTTACTACCACGGCAAATTTCAACAAAGTTAACAAAGTTTCCTCTATCACAAAATGTGTAGTATGTGGATGACCTGTTGTGAGTGAGTCACGGGGCCATAAATGTCCGTGCCGGCCTCACGTGGAAGAATAATATTGCAAAAAGGCTTCGCAACCAAAAAATTACTACCAGCAAAGCAGGGAAGCCCCCCATGTGCTGATGGGTGTTTCACAAAATTTGCCACTTTCTCTATTTTTTTTTAAATGTTATTTGTGGCCTTACTACTGCGGTGGCCTCATATACAGTACTGTTTAGAAAAGGCAAGATAACTCATCCAAAGAAAGCAATACTTACTGAACTGTGTTCTCCTTCTTGGATTTTAACACCCATCAACCTCTCAGTCAGCTTCTTCAGGCTGGGAGTCCTTCCCCCAAACAAACGAAGAAATCCCTTGTATCTAAAAACAAAATACTGTTTTAAAAGTTTCTTGACATACAAATAAAATGTAATTTATTAAAAAATCAAACCCATACACTTGTGTATGTTTACTATATACCTGGTACTGTATACAGAAAATCTCCAAAATGTTAACTCCATAATTTGTAGCTTGCCAGAATTAAGCTACCGTAACTGTCTTTTCAGAAATCCCTCATACAGTATCAAAGTTAACAGAAATTAAAGTCCCATAAAAGAAACAACTATTTTAAAGTAAAAAAAACTGGAATGAGTGCTGTAACATATACTGTACCTCTGACCAATTTGTACCACTGTTTGTAACATTCAAATAATAATCATCTAATAAAACAAAATAATAATTATAAAATAAAATTAAACAAGAAATCAAACAAAGTGGTGGCTCATCTATTTGGGTTACAGCCCTGAGCATTGTACCAGCAGACATATATTATGTCTGATACTGAAGATGATAACAGTTGTCTTAACTATTACGTATTTACAAATAACTTATTCTTCGTAATGTTCCCTGAACAAAATAACGTTTTCATTATGAAAGATTAAAACACACTTCAACAATTCACTTCAAGCTTTACATAGGGGACATCACAATATTGCCACACACAGCAACAGTATTGTGCCTCAGATAACAGCTAAACATTGATGTTGGATGTTTACATTTCTCCTCTTCGCCTATTGCTTTATATCTACAGTAATCAAAGACTTTAACAAAAAAGTTATAATTAGCTTCATTACAGTATATAGATCTGCCACTTTAATTTCTTACTCAAATAATCAGCTGTGTACAAACAATCTATGGTCTACATATTGTAAACTTGAGGTCAGTAAACATTTATAAACTGAAATTTTCTGGTTATAAATCATCTGCAGTCCCTCCAATTTGAAATGTCATGAGCCACCCCAGAGACTTAACCACAAAAGAAGATTAGGTCTCATCCCCTCCTGCATGTTTATATCAATAAAAAAAAATTTAATGTATAAATTATATTCATTCGAAGCAAACCCACCAGATATTAAGATATTTATATATAATTCTATGGAATATTTAGTCGGGTTACTGCTCCAGGAGAGGGAATTGACAGAAGGGTGACAGGCCCAGTGAATCTTGGTGAACAGCAAATTTAAAATTGCAGTCATGTGACAATTCGCCCCATCTTTCATGTAGACAGCCCTGTGACAACTTGAGTAGGCAGAATTGCCTTCATAATGAGCAGCAAGTTTTGCACATTTAGGCAAATTAGTGTAGCACAGATTCATTTTTGATAAGGAAGAACAGTACAGTGAGTGCCTGCTTAATGTACATGATGCATTCCTGAAAACTTGTACATTGAGCAAATGTGCATTAAATTGACATCAATTTCTAAGAGAGTCACATTAGGGATGGATATACATCCCACAACATTCACCCAATTTTCTTTAAACCAGAATTGCCTCTTAATAAAGACAGGATGGTGAAATATGAGCATATAAACTTGGAACAATGAACATGTATGCTGTACTAAAGGAAAAGTGTTAGATTAGATATGAAAATGGATGAGTTACATCATCATTTAATGGCCATTTCCCATGCTTGCTTGGGTTAGCCGAGGTTACCTGATGGCAGCTCTCTTGCTCCATGGCCTCTTGCAGTCTCTCTTGTCAGGATCTTAACTCTAATGACATTTCTTACAACCTCTCCCCATGTCATTATTGGCTTGCTCCTGGCTCTCCTCCCCTCCACAATTAGGCTCATGCACCTCTTTACCCAATTGGTCTCATCCATTCTCTGCACATGTCCAAACCATGTCAGTCTGCTTCTATGCAGAACTTTGCCAATACTCTCAATAACCAGCTGCCCTCTTAGCTTTGAACAGGGATTCCTGTCTTTCAGTGTCATATTACACATCCACCTTATCATGCTCATTTCAGCTCACTCAAGTCTACTTATGTCATCCTCTATAACTGGCCAAGTTTCACAGCTCTATAACATCACACTTCTCACACCTGCTACATATATTCTTCCTTTCACTTGAATGGAAGGTCCTCTTGCTGCCAATATATCAGTACTCATATGCTATTTGGACTAACATGTAAAGAAGATAAACCAAGTTAGTTAATGCAGAGTACTATAAATGTCAACTGTTTCAGGATATTCCTTATCAGTCAACATTCCAACAAGAAATAAAACGAGAGGATTGAATAAAAACTATTACCTGGTAGTTTTAATTTTTTTAAACAGCAAATGGTAAAGTTAGTAAGTTACCTTGATGTGTCTCTAATGTGTGATCGTGGATGGGAGAGGTACAGAACCTTAAGGTCATGGAGTAAAGCATGGCCCACCAATATCTTTCCTTTGATTAGTTCTGATATTTCTTTTTGCACTGTAGAAAAATCAGCACCTGAAAAATGTAAGTTACCATTAATAATATTCCAGCAAACCTTGATTAAATTATCAATGCTTCATTATAACACTCCCTCTCCTATCAAAAAAATCAATACACTGTAAATAAAAAAATAAATAAATAAAATAATAATAATAATTTGTCAAATGGTTCTAAAGTCTTTTGCGAGAACAGACAACATCAGTGGTGGGCACGGTTCCGCTAACCGCTAATTAGCGAAGCTAACTTTCTCGTTAGCGGGTTAGCGTTTTCGCTAACTTTGGAAGCCATTAGCGGACCAATTAGCTACCGCTAAATTTAGTTCCGCTAACAAAATTTATACACGTTTGTTCCTGTCTGTTGTAAGCGTGTGACGCCGCGACGAGTGTCTCCAACAGCCAATCAGGCATGCTTGGCAGACTACGTGTTAGTAAGTGTAAACAAGAATGGAATTTTTCGATTATTAAAGTTTAATACTTTTTTTTTACGGTAAATAAAGACTGTCAGTGTATGTTAAAGAATCATAGAATGTAATTGTAAACTAATGTATAATTTCATTTCTCATTTACAGGTTGACAACCCTTTATCCGAAATTCCGAAAACCGAAAGTTTTTTTTTTTGGGTCCATTTTTTTTTTTAACAGGGATTAGCCCACCCGGGGATAGATCACTGACCCACATCAGGGCCTGGGGGGCAAAAATGTAATAGAAATAATAATTACAATAATAATTATTCATAGTAAATAAAAATTTTAATAAAAATATACCAAAATAAAATAATATGATAACATTAATAATAATAATAATAATAATAATAATAATAATAATAATAATAATAATCATAAAATAAAATAATAAAATTAATAAAAATAACAATAATACAGGAGTAGTGTAATAATAATAATAATAAAGAAATACAAGAATGAAAAAAAGATCAAAAAGTGAGAAACACGACCTAGACCCATGAATTATCATTATTATTATTATTATTATCATCATCATAATTTTTATTATATTTTCGCCCCCCCAGGTCCAGATGTGGGTCAGTGATCTATGCCTGGGTGGGCTACTAAAAAAAAAACACTAACCATTCTGAAAACCGAAAAATTCCGAAATGCCTCTGGCCCCAAGGATTTTGGATAAGGGATTGTCAACCTGTATTTGTTAATTTAATTAGGATTTTTTTGTGTCAATATATTTGGTTATGCTAAGTACTGCATAAGTTCATGACCAAGATGTCATCCAAGGTGTGCGCCAAACAAAATTTTCTAAAAACTTACTTTTCATTAAAGTTTAGAATTTTCTGTTTATTTACATGACTAAGACTAACAATAAGTTACAGTATATAAAAATGCACTGGTATAATGTGTATGTGGTTGGTATTGCATATTTACATGAATAATGAATAAGGCCGATAGGTTGTATGGGAATGCAAATTAATTATTTGTGAAATTGTGTAGTGTACACCTTGATAAGTTGATCATCATCTGATCTTGGCATGATGCTGTTTGCTACCTATGCTATACAGTACTATAGTTTTTGGATTCGTTCAATACTTTCTGTCTTTTCGTACAGTAAATAAAGATTATAAAGTGTATGTTGAAACTTGAATGTAAACTAATGTTTAATTTCATTTGTTCATTTAATTATTTGTGTACACCTTGATCATCATCTGATCTTGGCATGTTATACCTTTTGGGAAGCTCTTATGTCTAAGCTACAAGACAACATATGAAAATTTCAGCTCTATAGGTCTGTTTTTAGGGGTTTTAGAGCCCCCTCCCCCCCCCCCAAAAAAAAACGAAGCTAAATTCATATAATAAAAGTTAGCGGTTAGCATTAGCTTCTGCTAATTTTTTTAGCTGTTTAGCGGTTTAGCATTAGCGAAGTTAACTTTTTTTTAGTTAGCAGATTAGCGGTTTGCGAAGCTAACTTTTCGTTTAGCTGAGCCCACCACTGGACAACATGCATCAGTCTCTTCTCTTTCTCAAAGCTTCAAGCTCAGCCAATGAGTTTGGCTACATACTGTATAAAATAAGAACCACTTTCTTACGCTGTTTCAACTGAATGCAACGGTAAGTACAATAATGTAACATATTGTACAGTATACACCAGCAAACTGCAGATTTCATGTATCCATGGTTTTCACTCTATACCATTTCACCAACCATGACACTTAGTTTTCTGTATCCATGGATTAAAGCGGAGTCTTTATCCCTCCTCGCAGCATCCCACCACTGCTCTCCACAGTGTTGTAAGCGTGCTGACGTACTGTACCGCTCCGTATTCTCTCACTTACTTTCTACTGTAATAACATTGATTTTGCCCTTAACTATGTATGACCCCAAAGCATTCATTGAGATCTTAATGATAAAGGTGAGAAAAAAGATGAAAAGGGCAAGAAACAAAATGACATTAAAATAGAATGTTGAAGTGTTTGATAGACTAGCGGGTGGAGAAAGTATAACATCAGTGGGATGCAATATGGGGGTAAACGAATCCTTGATTCATACCATCAAAAAAAGTGAGGTTACGATAAGGGCAAGTGTTGCTGGTGGCACAACTGAAAGTGTAAAAGTGCTGTATATGCCATGCGGCCATAATCTTGGAAAGATGGAAAATGTACCTTTAAGCTCAGATGTAATTCGTGTTAAGGCCAGGTGGATGTACAGCCACCTTGTTGAATGTTCGGGTGAAGGAAGTGTACTAGAAACAAAGTTTCAAGCCAGTAAGGGCTAGTTTGAAAACTTAAAGAAAATACACAGCCTACACAGCATTGGTAGATCACCAGTCTGCTGCGCTGTATCCCAAACAATTAAAAAAATTAATTCAGAAGAGTTATTTGCCAGAGCAGGTATTCAATGCAGACAAGACTGGGGTTTTTGGAAACAGATAACGAAAAAAACCTTAATTTCAAAGGCTGAGAAGTCTGCTCCTGGGATTCAAGGCAGCGAAGGACAGGCTGACCCTTCTCCTTTGTGGTAATGCCTTAGGGAACAGCTTTATAAAGAATCACCTCCCTCTCTTTTGGAGGTCTAATCATAAGGCTTAGGTTACTGATGCCATCTTCATGGATTAGATCAACGAATGTTTTGACCTTGAGGTTGAGTGGGACCTTGCCTCCTCCTCCCCCCCCCCAAATAAATCTGGGGTTCATGGTGTCATTTCATCATCGACAATGCACCCGGTCACCCTGGAGCACTCCAGATTGCCCATCCCAATATAGTGTAGTAGTATTTCTCCCTCCAAACACAACATCACTCCTTCAGCCCATGAACCAGGGGTGTAATAGCAACATTTAAAAGCTATTACACTCACCGCACCTTCAGCCATATCTTTGATGCCATGGAGGACGACGACACCTTAACAATATTGGACTGCTGTAAGAGATTTAATGTCATGGACTGCATCAGCGCTCATCAAAGAATCCATGGATGAAGTGAAACCATCAACGCTGAATGCGTGTTGGGAGAATATCTGGCCTGATGTTGTGCATGACTTCCAAGGTTTCCCTTTAGTGGATGCTGAGATGAGGTGCATCATACAGACTCAATCTTTGCCAGATGAGGGGCTGAGCAACATTCAGGTCAATGACACAGAGGAGCTCCTTGATTTTCATGTGGAAGTTGACCGAGGATAACCTCCAAGAGCTGATACAGTCCTCCAGTGATGATAGAGATCAGAATGAGGTGAGAAAGTGAAAATGACTCTGCTTCAAATTTGGCAGAGCATTTCATAGTAACTGATCCATTTATGGAGCATAGCACTGAGCAGTTCAACAATTGAACTCTGATATTGTACTTCCATTTCCCAAAAAGGACTGGGAAGGATGTCATTGTTTTGTTAAATAAATTCACAGAACAATTTACTCAATCAAGTTTTACATTATTTGACATAATTGGTTACATCATTAGTAGATAATCATGACATAGTAGAGGGTGTGTGTCTTGGTGGCTGGGCTTTGCAAGGATAATTTCAGAATCCTTCAAGCTGTATTTTCCCTCAAATTGGTAGTTAGAACACTGAGCATGAATGTGAAGGATAATATAGTTCTGAAAAGGAAGTTTTATCACCCTGCTTCCCAAGATCAGTACTGTGCAGAACGACATGGCATATATATTGCTCACCAGACAGCAGGACAAGTTTAAACCGAGGTGTTTTTGACACCACCACAGCTGACGGTGTCCAGTAGCTCCACTGACCAGACATGAACAGGAGGGAAGAAAAGTTAGTCTTGAATGAAAGAATCATTGGCCTCCATGATTCTGGTCTCTCTATATGTGCCATCATGCATGAGTGTGGCATGTCCCCCCACAACTGTAGTGAAGTGGATCAGGAGGTGGGAGGAAAGCAGAAACATGACCGACCTGGGTAAGCTGTTACCGAGTCACCAGTCACCATTTCACAATAGCATCCATGCACTTAATATGAGCAAGTTATATATGCTTCCCATACTCTTCTCACCAGTCAGGGATGGCAGCATCACGGCAGCCATGAGGACCACTACATAAGTGCAGAGTCCTTAAGGAGCATGGCCAACTTAGATCGATGAAAAATGGAAAACATCATAAAATGTGAAAAAATTCCCTAACAAAGGTGTTGCCTATGGCATGGCTGTATCTGGACGGAGTTTTATAGCGATATTCGTAATATTTATGCAGTTATGTATGGTCACCCCCCCACTCTCTTCCAACGTCCCCTTGGGTAGATGTATGAATGTTCGTAGTAAAATACTTTTCCCAAAAATATGGAATAAATAGCACAAAAAGATTTTAAAAATTAATTTTGGGCAGCTCTCGCCACCTCTGGTTATATAAGCTTTGGGTAGAGCTCCCTTTAACTTGGCTTATATATAAATAAGTTGAGGGATTAAGTTACAAACCCAAAATGGTCTTTTCTCCAATTATATTGGTAAAACTATATTGGTCACAGTGTATTAGTAGATGCACTGTAATTAACACTGTAAGCTGTTAGTGTTAGTTAAGGACGGGGCTCAGCTTGACTGAGTTAGGTCACCCG